AAACTAAGCACATGGGGTGTGGTCAACAAAATGTGGGGTATGTATAAAACAACCCATAAAAAAAAATGTTAAGTAGCATTCATTCAATATACTCTTACCTCTTTTCCATCCCATAAACGAACAAGTTTGCTATGACGCATTCTTAGTTCGGTAAGGAAACGAGGGTGAAAGCTTGGTGGAAGAGACTTGGAAGGATACCAACTCCAAATTATAATTCTCAAAGAACATGGAAGAAACTTGGGACTTGAAGAAATGATCAAATTGTCCAATTCTAGAAACCTCAATCCATGCATATTAGAGAAGGCTTCACAACTCCAGTGCACCTTTTCTATTTCAGGTAGCTGTAATCCTATACCTTCAATAGCTCTCGTTCCCTAATAAACAAGAATGTAGACAACGTAAATTTAACATTTAAGCATATTGCGTTAAAAGAAATCATGTCTTCTTTCAAACTTGGTATTTACATAACATCTTACCGTATTGGTCGTGAATATATGCAAAATGTCATCCGGAAGCCACAACCTACTCCGTAGACCGGGCTCTTTAGACTCTTGACCAACAATTGTCCATGCCATTTCTTGTATCAAATCATGCATCCCTATGAAGTACTTGGCTAAATTATCATATTGGATGCGTTTTTCAACAGTTAAGAGAGATTTCTCAATTAGTAGATCGATCATAATACTACTAGAAACTTCAAAAGAATTGTCTAGTATTGGAATAACTTGCTTCATGCACTTCCCTTTGTGGAAACATGCAACATCGAGAAAAACTCTCTTCTCCATATCCTCTAGTCCGTCATAACTGATTTTGAGTGTATTGAAAATTGTTGGATTAGGAACTGTATGAATATTATCCAACACACTCTTCCATGCATCCTGACCTCTCGTATGCAAAAAAGACCCTAATGTTTTAAGAACTAGTGGAAGGCCTCTAGCATATTCTAGGAAATGGTTAGTGAGTTTCAAAAATTCTTGCTCGGGTTGTTCTTTCCTAAGGCATTCAGACTAAAGAGCTCAAGTGCTTCGCAGTCATTCAACCCCTGCATCTTATATGATGCTGCTATACCATGTTGGACTAGCAACCCTTCATTTCTAGTCGTAATCACAATTCTACTTCCCATACCAAACCAACTTTGATTTCCGGCCAGTACTTCTAGTTGTTTTAAATCATCCACATCATCAAGTACGAGAAGAACCTTTTTATTGCGTAAACACTTCTTAATGAAAATGATTCCGCACTCTTCATCCCAAATTTCTTTAACCTTTTCCTTCAACATCGGAGAAAGAAGTCTTTCTTGAAGACCAATTAGAGTACGGTGTTTTTTAGAAACCTCTCTAATGTTGCCAAGGAAGGAATGAACTTCAAAATGATGGAAGATTCTATCATAAACTAGCTTAGCAAGGGTTGTCTTACCTATGCCACCCATCCCCGTTATCCCTATAAAGCGAACATCATTGGCCTCATGAGCTAATAGCGAACTTAGTTGCTCTAGCCTAAAATTAACCCCAACAAATTTCTGTGAAGAATCTAACAACGTGAATGTAGCTTGCACTTTCCTCCACACGCTTTGGACGATTTTTTCAATAAGCTCACTTTCACACCTACAAGGTATAAAATAACCAATTAAAAAAAACATAAACGAAGCATGCAAGTTTGCCTCTACTAAGACATGGGAAATTATAGTTGTTCATGCATGCTTACTTAGATTCCTTCGAATGCCACCCAGAAAATTTGGATACTTTTTTCAGAGCTTCTCTCCACTGGGTCACCTTCATCTTGTCTTGGGTACTAATGAACTTTTCTTCATGCTCATCGAAGGCTTTGGCAAAAGACCCCCTCTGATTTCCAACGTCAGATGGATCTGTCTCATAAAAGACTGGCAGAACTGTGTTCCTGGCTTCCATGCATTGAAGAATGGTTGTAAGTTCATTCAAGCACCATTTGGAAGAAGCGTAGTTTGGTGAGAGAACAACGATTGCAATATGTGATTCCTTGATTGCACTCGGGAGCTCAAGATGAATACTTGTTCCTCCTTCAAGCTCTCGATCGTCAAAGAAAGTTGTAATTCCTTGGCACTTGCACAATTCATGGTATAAATGAGATACAAAACCCTTGCGGGTGTCTAGACCTCTAAATCTCAAAAACACATCATACTTCCATCGAGGAGCGGATTCATTCGAAACAAAAGATGCAGAGGCTCTTTGGGTGCTTAATGCCATCGTAAAAAAACCAGTTGCTATAAATCGAGTACTCCGAACAGTAACTGAATGAACAAGTAAATAGATAGAAGATTAATGTTTCAAAATTTAAAAAAAAAATTGAAATTTTTTTTTTATTCGTAACTCAGAACAACACAAATTTGACAATTCGATTTGATCTTACAGTCCTCAATAACTCAGTTTCAACCGTTGAATCAGATTCAGTTACTGGAAAAATGGATTCTGCAAACAAAAACGAAAGAGATTAAGGAAAATGAGCAGTGAAAAGGAAAATAGAAACTTTAAGACCTGGTTTGGTACTGAGGTGATTCTGAAAAAAGCTGCTATCAAAAAAAGCTGGGAGCTGTTTTTGTGTTTGGTAAACACTCAGCTTCAGCTTTTTTTCACAGTTTTGGATGAAAAAAAGCCAAAAACAAGAAGCTGCAAAACCTAGCTTTGAAAAACCAGCTTTTTTTCACATCTGTTTTACATAAAAGTTTACCAAACACTCTAATACTACTTTTTTTTTTTCAAAAGCACTTTTACAAAAAAGTTTACCAAACACTCTGCTGCTTTATTTCACAGCTGCTTATTCTCACAGCACAGCAGAAGCAGCTTTTTTTCAAAGCACAGCAATACCAAACCAGCCCTAAATCTTGTTTTGGTAATTGAAAATGTATATTAAGAAAAAGAAATTAAGGACTCAAAGCAAATACCAGAAAAGCAAACTACCGAATCAACACAAACTTACACAGGCAGAGAGAAGTGAGAAATGACAAGAAAATAAGCAGAAAAATCACACTCAATATTCTCACGGCAAAGTTGTAGGAAGGGAGGAAGTTAAGAGAGATGTAGAAAGGGAAATAAATGGGAGAGAGATGGACAATCGACTACTTATACGGTAGAGTGTGGTGCTGTTGGTGGTGACCACACGGTAGAGTGTGGGTCATAGTGAAAAGCTGAAGGGAAAACGTTAACATACTTACACGGTTTAGCGTGGGTTTTCCACAAAAAAAAGTGGAAGACTGACCATGAGAAATTTTCAGGAAGCTTCCTTGTTGGGACTATCATCTTTCTCGACCGTTTCTCTTCTCACCAAAGGGATTGGATGCGAGACTTAAGTAAGTTCCAACTTTCTTGACAGAAAAGATATTCCTGTCTCTTTGTTTTTTTTTTTAAACTCAAAAAACATCACACTTACATCGAGATTCGAAAGAAAAGATACAGAGGCTCTTTGGAAAGTAATGTAAAGTTAATGAAAACACTCGCACAAAAGTAGCGGCAGGCCAATCAAACCAAAAGAGAGGCTTTGGTGGAAGGAAATAATGGAAGAGAGAGAGAATGAAAGTTGTGGAAACCGGCCAAGTGGGACAGTACCAATCAATCCAACAAAGAAAACCACAAAAACCAGTGTGAAAAGCCAGCACTATATACTCCTACTCCTGCTCTTAGACCAAAACTAATTATTCTTTCTATGGGGCCTCCATTCATTCACTCGTTCCTTCCTTTTCTTCGTATCTTTTTTGGAACATCATCTGGACGTTTTCCGACAACTTGCTTGGTAAGACTCAAGCGATTTCTGACTTGTGGGATTGAATTAATCTAAAGTGAAAACAACATATGAAATCATGGAGAGAAATTGGTTGAGATTAGGCATCATCAAGGATTATCATTCAAATGTTAATTAACATCGAATAATTAACCAGACTCTGAAGAGTGAAGACCATTTCCTCCACAAGAACTCTAAGCTCTTTAATTCTCATTCATCTTCCAAGAGACCTTCAGGTTGTGAGGAGGAAGGAGCGTTGGAGAGAGAAAGTAAAAATATCGTAGAAAAAAACGAAAGGGAAGGGTAGTCGGGGAAATAAGCGGGTAACTGCTTGCTGGGACAACCACCCATATCATTTTTCCCGGGAAATCTTTTGTGCCGCTCTTTCCCAAAATGCCCCTTCTACTGCTTTTGCAACGGTCTCTCGTCGCACACCCTTCCCGCAAGGGAGTGTGCCCCGGTGTGATTTCTCACTTTAGCCCTTTTCTGTTTTGGGTTGTTTGACGGTGCCGTTTTGGCCGGAAAGGATAGTCCCACACAGATTAGACACAGCCAGCTGGTGATCTCCCACATCACATGGCCTTTTAGAGTCCACTAGATAATAAGCCCGCGCGTTACTAAAAGTCATCAAAGATCGTGCGGTCATAATTAAATATTTAAAATATTTATTTGTGGTCGCACGATCTTTGATGAATGGTCCTTGTGCCTTGATCCCTGAGATCCCCAAGAAGGGGATCCGGAGAGGATCCAAATCCAAATGAAACAACTCCTAGTGATTTTTTTGTCATTTATTCTGACTGGTCAGAGTAAAATTTATCGGAGAGCTCCTAAAAAAGATTTTTGTTAATTTTAATTAAAACTTATCATATGGGAGGATTAGAGATGCTCTCAAGACTCGGTTTGAATGGGCAGCATATCCCACACTATCTGCCGCCACCAGCACAATTTTGGTGCCTCTCAAAAACTTTTCGTGCCCCATATCGATGTCGATTGTGTTTCCCATCCCAATGGAGATTGATGAATATTCTTGAAATGGTTTCATCACAAAATATCCCCATTATTTACTTTGGGCCTAACGAGGACTTTGAAATCGTGCAAGATCGGCTTTTCTCCAACAACACATACCATCTGCAATACATCAACATCCTCTGGTCGGATTCATTTCATGGCGAATGTTAAAGGAACTTTTTAAAAAGTGAGACTCTTTATAAATTTTATGTCATCTCAAAGGTTAATGTAAATTTTCATACTAATATTATAAAATATTGTGCTAAAAACATGAGATGACATAGCTTTTCTCTCCATTCCATTTCTTACTTGAATGGATCATTGGATGGATGCTATCCCAAGGTTCTTTCAAGATTGTTGAAAACCATAAAGTTTTAGTAAAACAAAATTTTGGAAGTACCAGGAGTGAATTTAATTAAATATTTTGAGAATAGACACTATCAAACATAGGGAATTTGATTAGAAAAACTCTTACAACGCTCTTTTCCTTTTGCTATTTTTTTGGGTTCATTGCGGTGACATAGTACTTTTAATGCGACTCATGTGTGATGAAAAAGTTGTTACTTAAACATTTTTGGTGAATCATGTTGGCAATTACAATCCAATTGAAATTTTCAATAGTGCCATGTTAAGTAAAAGTTTAAAATTGTTATTTCAAACAATTGAACTATTTGTGTTAAATTGGGTTAGTGCCACTGGAATTTAACACAAATTAAGAAAAAAGTAAGAAGCTTGAGGTTCAAATTGAACAATGATGATTCTTTAAATTCTTTGCATGAGAATCATTATCAAGAGTTTTGTGTGTACTTATACCATATCCTCTCTAGGACATCTCAAATGGAATCCTCAGATCCCTACCAACCTCTCCTCTTTAGTGTAGATAATTATCATTTGTTCAAAATTAATAAATAAGGAGGGTTAAGCCTCATTGGGCTACCATAATAATGTGATTCAAATTTGCTTTTCACGAGAATCAAACTTAAAATTTTTCATTTACAAATAAAGAGGAATCTAGAATCGAACAAAAATGATGGGTGTCCTTAATAGTAAGGGAGGAGCGTTGGTCTTTCTAGAATCGAACAAAAATGCGTACATGTTTATTTTTGAGTATTGAAAGAAATCTCAAGTTTAAATTTCACCTATGAATTAACTAAGGAAATATGGCTACATGATTATGACATTTATCCCAACAAACAAAAAAAGGCCCCATACATAACGATTGCAAGTCCAGCAAAAAAAAATTCTGAACAAAATATGGCAATTGGGTTAAAGCCCAAATTTGACTTCCACCCACCTTCTTCACAGCCCAATCTGAATATATATTAATTTGATTTCAAATATTCCAACGAGGCAAATCATCCAAAATTCCAGATTGTTGACGTCATTAAAGATGAACAAAATTTGTTGGCCCTTTATCACAGTGATGAAAATGTATTATGTTTTTATATAACAGCGTGGGTTTAAACTTCATCGGTAGTTAATATAACATTTAACTAATACTATCACTCCACTCAAAAAAAAAAAAATTAAGACGATTGATTACTCTCTCTCTCTCTCATTTTCAATATGTGAAATTCCTGGCTGGTTCAGTAATCAAAATACCTACTTTGTTTGTACACTTATTACATGCTACAAATACAATGCGGTTTAATAATAACATAAATCTTCAAACTTGCAGCCGCATATATGCTTGATGCATCGTTGGTGACGAAGAGAAAGCCGGTGTTCCAAGTGTTAAATCTGGTGTTTATAGCACACTTGCATCTCGGACTGCACACTCCCTTCAAGCTTAACCGTCTTCTTCATTCATGAACGTTCTTCCACGTCCCAACACTAGCACTGAATTGTGGCAAAGAAGAAGAACCGGACAAAGGGTGGTGAAACTGACCTAGCTAGAACGTAAGCTTCATTCCAAAAGACAGCAAGCTGCACCAACAATCGCAGCAGACTCAACGTTAGCTTGTAGGTTTACTTGACAGAAGCTAGTTCTTCAGACTCCTCTAAGCTACAGATTATGTGTACTAGGGAGGACTGACGAAAACCGTCACCACATATGAAGCAATCATCGGATTAACGTACAAGAAATTATCAGGTTTCATACATATAAACTTTATGCAATGAATATAAAGAAAGACCAGGAAAGTCAAAAGGGTTTTACAATCATAACTATGACTTTGCATCTCTTTTGGTTGGATCTCTTGCATAGATAAGAGAAGCACATTATTTAATGTATATACACAGTTAGACTTCATTGCGGGATCTAAGGAGAAAAAAGGTACTCCTTGATTGTATTTAAACAAACATGTTTTATTCAAGTGCATATAATATATATAGCTCATGGTATTAACTAAGATGGCAAAGCACAGGAGGCATAGAGAACTTAAGGAGAGAAAAGCAGGAGAGAAAGAAAGAGATCAATTGAAAAAGTAGCGATTGAGTTAATTTCTTTAACATCAATAATCTTACATAATTCCTTCAAAAAAAAAAAAAATCATACATAACTAGCACTTCTTGCAAGAAGCACTTTAAGTGTTTTATGAACTCAAAATTCTTTTATCTAAAAGTATTTTTAATCATTTAAAAGCACCAGCCAAGAACCTAAAACTCATTTTCAACTAAATAAACAATGTACTACCAAAATTTCCCTCAAATATTTATCCTAATGCGATTTTGCCCTCTTATACACGTGTTGGTCATTATTTCTAGGAAAATTTTATTTAAACTCACATAACTTCTCTCTATACTCAACTTAAACTTTAAATGTGAATTGTCTTTTTTATTCTATTGCATAATTATCATAAAGTACAAGATGAAGTTAACAATAAAACTAAAATTTATGAATAAACCCACATCCTATAATTAAACTCTGCCATCACTCTTTATTTATCCTACATTTATTCCGGCAAAACCACTAATAGCTCTTATAATAAAAACAAAGCTTTAAGAAAAACATCAAATCGGAAATCTTTCTACATCATTGGTCTCTGCTGGGTTGGGTTTTCAAAAATCCATTTGGAAACTTGAAACTTTAGGAAAAAGATCAAATAAAAATTCATTAAAGCAATTGATAGAAAAATTAAAAAAAACAGAAGTCTCTATTTTTAAAGACCTACAAATTCAAAGAAATTTTAAACCCATAGAACTGTACATCTTTCAACTCTCAAAACGACATTAAGTTGTAAGAATTCAAAATTTTCAAGGAGGACCTTTGAAGTTTTATTATGGGTTTGATTTCTGAAATAATTTGGATTTGTGATGATGGTTTAGGTAATAAATTGAAGTTTAAAGAGATATTGGTATCTTAATTAAAAATAATATAGGTGTAAAAAAATAAATTGAATGTAGAAAGAGATTGTATGGATTCTAATAAAATTTCTCTTATTTCTATTTCTATTTGCTTTCATCTGCTTATCTCTCCAGAAATGTGAAGAAAAAAAAAACTGTGTTCATCCAAATCAATCCTAGAATCCCGAAAGCAAAATTCATCCAGATTGTTCCAGTCTCCCTTCTCTCAGTTCCTTCCCTCTCGATTCTCTCTGGCTTCTCTCTCTAAAATACCCACTCGCCGCTGCCTTCTCTCTGATGTTTCAATTTGCCGGCAACAACTTCTACGATTCTGGCGACGGGACCTCGAGGTTGGTCTCAACTGACTTATCCCCAATCCCCGATACCCTCAGGTTTTCCCCAAAAATTTTACCGTTTATGATCCTACTCTCAACGATTCTCCCCATGGATGCTCAACGTCTCCTCTCTCTCTACAATTGGTAGATTTTTTTAATTATTATTCCAATTTTGGTTACTGGGTTGTGGAATTTACAGATTTTTTTTCTCTGGGTTATCACACTATATAAATGCATGACAAGTATAATCAACATTTTAGGGAAAATTTACCTGTTTAATTTTTTGAATTTGGAGTTGTGGTTTTGTTCTACTGTATGGCAATATTCTGAAATGGTAGATAGTTTAGATCTTTTTGTGCATTATTTACCATTTCAAAAAGGGTCTAAACTCTTTACGCCCATTGTCGAAAGTGCAGTGTTGACAATCCGAATTTGTATGGCATTGAGAGCATATAGTGTCATAATTTAGTCACAGGTTGATATAACTTTGATAAACTTTATCATCAGTAAATTTATTCTGAATATGGAATTATTTTGATCTTAAAGATGACATTTGGATATGCCCAGTGGCATTTTCCTTTGGTAGCTCAAATCATCTCATATCAGTAAGTGGAGTTTTATGTTTAATTAGGCATTTTCACTGTTTTCAGTAAAGATGGTACCTAGCTTTCATGTTTCTTGATTTTTTTGTTGACATCCTTTTAGATTGCATTGGTTCAGCCTTCAATGTAAAGGGGGCACTGCAATGCCCTAATTGGCGGAAAATCGAGAAAGGTCAATGACATTATTCTAATATGGATGTCGTTCATTTCTGGAATTTAGCATGGATAACTGGACACACGATGAGAATCTCTATATTTAAGTTATTTTGAAATGGTAAATAGTTTAGATCCTTTTTGAATTTTAACTTCTAATGTTCTGTTACTTTTTGTGAATATTCAATTTTTTGCCGGGCATTTGACTGGATATTCAAGGAGCATTTAGATGGAGGGTAATACATCCTTTTTTACATGCCATATAATTTTGTAGAATACACATATGATAATGCCTCCTTTGACATAGTATGAACTAAAATATATGAACAAAAACTTTTTTTTTTTTTTTTTTAAATGTTAATGTACTTATTGAAATGTTTTTGTAATTTTTTTACACTGAGCAGGAGGAACAAAGGTTAACGGACCTCCAATTTGTTTTGATGTCGCTGTTTGCTTCACAAACCTCTACGCTTTGCTTCCATACAGTATGTTTGAGTACTACTCTACATCTTAATTTCTACTTTTCTTTGGTTCATGCAAGTTTGAGGGTTGGGTATAAAAAAAATGCAAGCTTTTGAATAAGTAAAATACTTTTTGCTTCCAGCCTTTTGCTTTGATCATCTGGGTGTTTTTTGATGATCATCTGTTTTCGGGTTTCGATCTATTGGTGCAAGATTGTGTATCGTGCTTTTTGTCTGTTTGAAGTGTTATATGATGCTAAAGTTTTTTCTTTTTTAATTGCTTGGTAATTTAGAACTGGATTTATGGGTTGAATTCAGTTTTAGAACTATAAGTAAGGTAGATTTATGCTCTGGTCAGGCAGGAGTAGATAGTTATTGGGTTTCTGTGAAAGATTTGAGTTATAAATGGAGAGTTGAGGTCAAAAGTGTATTTATCTTGATGATGAATTGCCGACAGATAACCAGCTATGTAAATCATTGGAGTTTAGAGCGAGTTCATCGAACTCTTCAGCTCAAACTAGTAGGAATCTGTGAACTCCGCATCAGAAACCAATGACTGTGATATGGACACTTGGACATCTATATGTTAGTTATTGTAAATTGATTTTCACATGAATGTAAATAGTATTGCATACCATAGGTATTTAGAACTTTCTGCATGTTTTATACAGTTTTAAAACCCGCAACATTGCAGGGGCACAATTACTAGTTAAAATTCTATAGCTCAAAAGAGTTAAAAAGTAATACTAAAATATTATGTAGGTCATTCTGGGATTCAGATGGTGACTTACATGGATTCTGAGTAAACTCTGAGGCATTGAATGGTTGAAAAAAGCATGAAACAATTATTTATCTTCCTTCTGCCTTTTGCGGGTATGTTCTTTGTTGTCAAAACTACGACTTTGACTTGAAGCTACCAAGATTTTCAATGTTCGTTTGAGTTCTTTCAAATCTTGCTCGTACACCAAACGAGCCCCACACTTCTTCACCATATTCAAGCCTACTTTGGGTTTATTCATTCCGAGCCTATAATAAGTTTCAAATAGAAACTGTTCTTGAAGACATTCTTTGCGAGGCAAATAGAATATCCAAAGATGTTCAGACACAAGAGGTGATTTAAAAAGCCATGTACTCTGTTTACGGTTAGTTCGAGGTAAACACTGAATCAAGAATCCATCCGCTTTAAGGGCAGCTAGAGTTGGTTGTGCAAAAACAACACAAAAAGCAATCCCCATCCAGCTGCTACATGATTGCGGAGGTAGCTCCACATTTAGCGAATGTCCCAAGGTTTGATTGTTGAACCACTCGGGAATCCCCTTTCCGGGGCACACAATATGATTACGACAGATTTTCTGCACCAAAAGAACCATTATATGAGAATGAGGAAGGGAGGGAGGAGGGGTGGTTTGGGGGAAGAGATAGTACCTCAGTGGCGTATTTCACGATCCTTGAATATATTGTTTTGATCCAGTTTTCATCTTCCACCAATGTAATGCAATTCCGCGAATTGAAAGCAAAATCAGACAAATTGGATGGATCCGCCAACCTTTTCAATGAAGTACAATCACTTACATTTACGTGTAATTTCCTATTTGACGGAAGATCTGGCAGTTGCTCAAGTCTTTGGCACCTGACTAACTGAAGAGACTTAAGTCGAGAAAGGCATTTGATGCTTGCTGGAAGGGTAACAAAATTGTTTCCACTAAGACTTAACCTTTTCAAAGAGGACAAGCAACCAATATCATCGGGGATATCACCTTCCCCAAGATCACAATAACGTAGGAATAAGCGCACCAAACAACGCAAACGATTTAAAGAAGCCAACACCAAACCCCAACAAGGCTCATCGCTCTTTCTAATTCCAAATAAGCGGAGAAGGCCCCAATCATCCCTTCTGCACTTATTGAAACTTAGTCTAGTAAGGCCAACTAGATGTTCAATCGGTAATTTCTCAATCGCAGTCCCACGTAAACAAAGCGTGGACAAACTTTTCATCTGGTTCGAAAATTCTGGGATCTTTTTCACTCTGGAGCATCCGGAAAGAACTAAAGACTCAAGAGCATCCATTTCTACTTCACTTGGGAGGCTCTTAATACTTTCACAGTCACGAAGATTCAAAACTTTAAGCTTTTTAAGAACTGCAATAGATGGGTGAATCTCAACTAAATTCTTACACTGCATAAGAATCAACTCCTCAAGATTTTGAAGACCAGTGAAATCTGGGGTACCGATCAATTTATTTGAGTAGCTCAGATCAATACATTTCAACTTGGGAAAGTTCTGTACAATACATGAAATAATATATAAGCTTCCAAAAACCTTACAATTCTATTTGACATTGAAAAAAGTGTAATGCCATATTTACCATTTATTTATATAATTAATTATATTATCTTTCTAATATAAGTAGGGTCCACTAACATATGTAGATTCTATTTCTATTAGAGAGTTAATACAAATTTTTAATAAGAATAGCAATTTTTTTTAAAAGATTTTTTTTTTACTTAGCACCTCACATATTGATGAATACACTCTACAAACATTTATTTATTAAATAACTTACATATTTTCTTTATAAAATGACTATTTAGGGCCTAATAATAATAAGATTTTAAAAGAAAATAAATCTGCAAACATTAAGAAAATGATATTATCAGGAGGCAATCCAATATCATCTAGATGAAACTAAAGGAAGCCAATATGGTGAATGAGAAATCTAATGGTCTGAACCAAATGACACTTTTGCAATCATCCCAATAGACTCTCAAACCAACCGATCGAAAGACGAAGGAACTAATGCAATCATCCTATTCCCAACTACTTTGCTTACCACGTAATTGAAAAAATAAGAAAAACTCGAGGTAGTATACGCTGCAAGAAAGGAAAATGATCCCTAATTGACAAAAACCCCAAAATCTATAGAAAAAGGAAACTGAAAAATCCTTAATTGACAAAGAGGATGGGGGTGTGAGGGTAGTATTGGAAAGCAAATGAGGCGTGTTATGATAAATTGTAATTTAAAAAATGGATGTGGGGTGAATTAAGCACGTGGGGTGTGTGTGGTCAACAAAATGTGGGGTATGTATAAAACAACCCATAAAAAAATATGTTAAGTAGCATTCATTCAGTATACTCTTACCTCTTTTCCATCCCATAAATGAACAAGTTTGCTATGACGCATTCTTAGTTCGGTAAGGAAACGCGGGTGAAAGCTTGGTGGAAGAGACTTGGAAGGATACCAACTCCAAATTATAATTCTCATGGAACATGAAAGAAACTTGGGACTTGAAGAAATGATCAAATTGTCGAATTCTAGAAACCTCAATCCACGCATATTAGAGAAGGCTTCACAACTCCAGTGCACCTCTTCTATTTCAGGTAGTTGTAATCCTATACCTTCAATAGCTCTCGTTCCCTAATAACCAAGAATGTAGGAAACGTAAATTCAACATTTAAGCATATTGCGTTAAAAGAAATCATGTCTTCTTTTGAACTTGGTATTTACATAACGTCTTACCGTATTGGTCGTGAATATATGAAAAATATCATCGGGAAGCCACAGCCTACTCCGTAGACCAGGCTCTTTAGACTCTTGACCAACAATTGTCCATGCCATTTCTTGTATCAAATCATGCATCCCTATGAAGTACTTGGCTGATTTATCATATTGGACGCGTTTTTCAATGGTTAAGAGAGATTTCTCAATTAGTAGATCTATTATAATACTACTAGAAATTTCAAAAGAATTGTCTAGTATTGGAATAACTTGCTTCATGCACTTCCCTTTGTGGAAACATGCAACATCGAGAAAAACCCTCTTCTCCATGTCCTCTAGTCCGTCGTAACTGATTTTGAGTGAATTGAAAATTGTTGGATTAGGAACTCTATGAATATTATCCAACATACTCTTCCATGCATCCTGACCTCTCGTATGCAAAAAAGACCCTAATGTTTTAAGAACTAGTGGAAGGCCTCTAGCATATTTTAGGAAATGCTTTGACAGTTCCAAAAAGTCTTTCTCGGGTTGTTCTTTCCTAAAGGCATTCAGACTAAAGAGCTCAAGTGCTTCGCAGTAATTCAACCCCTGCATCTTATATGATGCTGCTATACCATGTTGGACTAGCAACCCTTCATTTCTAGTCGTAATCACAATTCTACTTGCCATACCAAACCAACTTTGATTTCCAGCCAGTACTTCTAGTTGTTTTAAATCATCCACATCATCGAGTATGAGAAGAACCTTTTTATTGCGTAAGCACTTCTTAATGAAAATGATTCCGCACTCTTCATCCCAAATTTCTTTAACCTTTTCCTTCAACATCGGAGAAAGAAGTCTTTCTTGAAGACCAATTAGAGTACGGTCTTTTTTAGAAACCTCTCTAATGTTTCCTAGGAAGGAATGAACTTCAAAATGATGGAAGATTTTATCATAAACTAGCTTAGCAAGAGTTGTCTTACCTATGCCAGCCATCCCCGTTATCCCTATAAAGCGAACATCATTGGCATCATGAGCTAATAGCGAACTTAGTTGCTCAAGCCTAAAATTAACCCCAACAAATTTCTGTGAAGAATCTAACAATGTGAATGTAGCTTGCACTTTCCTCCACACACTTTGGACGATTTTTTGAATAAGCTCCCTTTCACACCTACAAGGTATAGAACAACCAATAAAAAAAAGCATAAACGAAGCATTCAAGTTTGACTAAGCATTCAAGTTTGACTAAGACATGGGAAATTAAAGTTGTTCATGCATGCTTACTTAGATTCCTTCGAATGCCACCCAGAAATTTTGGATACTTTTTTCAGAGCTTCTCTCCACTGGGTCACCTTCATCTTGTCTTCCGTACTAATGAACTTTTCTTCATGCTCATCGAAGGCTTTGGCAAAAGACCCCCTCTGATTTCCAACGTCAGATGGATCTGTCTCATAAAAGACTGGCAGAACTGAGTTCCTGGCTTCCATGGATTGAAGAATGGTTGTAAGTTCATTCAAGCACCATTTGGAAGAAGCGTAGTTTGGTGAGAGAACAACGATTGCAATATGCGATTCCTTGATCGCACTCGGGAGCTCAAGATGAATACTTGTTCCTCCTTCAAGCTCTCGATCGTCAAAGAAAGTCGTAATTCCTTGGCACTTGCACAATTCATGGTATAAATGAGATACAAAACCCTTCCGGGTGTCTACACCCCTAAAACTCAAAAACACATCATACTTCCATCGAGGATCGGATTCATTCGAAACAAAAGATGCAGAGGCTCTTTGGGTGCTCAATGCCATCGGGAAAAGAAAAAAAACAGTTGCTATAAATCGAGTAATCCGAACAGTAACTGAATGAACAAGTAAATAGATAGAAGATTAATGTCTTAAAATTTAAAAAAAAACAAAATTGAAAAATTGAAACTTTAAATTTTATTTTGGTAATTTAAAAAATGCAATTTTATTCGTAATTAAGGGGACTCACCGTGGTCAGGTATGTAATTCAGTACCAACACATATTTGACAATTCGATTTGATTGTTGAATCAGATTCAGTTACCAGTGGAAAATGGGTTCTGCAAACAAAAAAGAGAAACAAAAACTAACAAGTAAAACAAAAATCAGCAAAGAAAAAGAGATTAAGGACTCAAAGCAAATACCACAAAAACAAAGTACTGAGTCAACACAAACTTACACAGAGGCAGAGAGAAGTGAGAAATGACAAGAAAATAAGCAGAAAACTCACTCAAAATTCTGAATGCAAAAGTAGTAGGAAGAGAGGGAAGTTGAAAGAGAGGTAGGAATGGAAATAAACAGGAGAGAGATGGACAATCAACTACTTCTACTGGTAGGGGTGGTGGCCACACGGTTTAGTGTGGGTCATAGTGAAAAGTTGAAGGGAAAACGTTAACATACACGTAAAAGTTGAAGGGAAATTTCCTGAAACCTTCCTTGTTGGGACGTGTCATCTTTCTCTACCTAAAAGTAGAAAAGATAGAGAGGCTACTTGGAAAGTAATGAAAAGTTAATGAAAGCCACGATGAAAACACTCACACAAAAGTATGAGCAGATCAAACCAAAAGAGAGAGAGGTTTTGGTGAAAGGAAATAATGGAAGAGAGAGAGAATGAAAATTGTAAGGAAGCCGGCCAAGGGGGACAATATCAATCAATCCAACAAAAAAACCACAAAAACCAGTGTGAACATCCAACATTCAACATACTCTTGCTCCTAAGTTGGACCAAACCAAAAATAATTATTACTTTAATTTTAATGGTGCATGAAACCATCTGAAAAGAAGGAATAGAATAATTTAAAAAAGGGGATGGTACATCTGAAAAGGTCAAAGAAAAAATAATAAAAGGGGAGAGGTGCATCGACACCACCACAGAAATAATAGTAAAATATAATAAATAAATAAAAAGGAGAAATGGGGACAAATGTTTCTGGAAGATAAGAAAAATAATAATAATATGAAATGTGCAGTGTTTGTGCATTTTTTCTTTTCTTTTTTCACCGTCCATTTTTTCATCTGTTGTCGTTTTCTTCCATCTTTTGTGCATTTTTTCTTCCTTAGACCAACTCCAATTGTGGGCTAAAAGCCAAATTACTCCCCAAAATTTTCCCCCAAACGCACTCCAACCCAAGGGGAAATTTTGAGCTAAATGCTAAACCAATGCCAAATTCCCCCTGAAATTTAGCCCAGAAATCGGGATGGACTATACCCAATATTTATCGGAATTTAAATTTTTTTAGATTAAAATATTCATAAAATTAATTTACAATAGTCTACATATTTATTTTAAAAAAAAAAATTAATTTAACAAAAAAAAAAGCCTAAATTCATTCTTTAATAATCCTGGGCTAAAATTTTAGGGTAGAATAGTTGAAGTAGAAAAACTGTTTTTGGGCTAAAAACTAAATTTTTCGGGCTAAAAAATTTGACTTTTAGCCCAACCATTGGAGATGGTCTTATGAAACAGGGAACTTTTTCTTTTTTGTAATTATTTTTTTTTCTTTTTCCACACTTCAACAGCTTCAAAAACTTTTTTTTTTCTCTTTTCTTTTCTTTTTTCACATTTGAACAGTTTCAAAAAACTTTTGACAAATTGGGGAGAGAGAGAGAGAGAGGGAGAGAGGAGGGCTGCGAATTTTGACCTTTTGACAAACTTTTGACAATTTTTTTGTGTGCTAATTAATCAATTTTATTTGCAACATTGTGCATTTTTTAGCCGTTTATTTTTTAGTTAGTAGATCATGATTAATAGCCCTTGAATAAGCCATTACCAGTTTCTGGATTGATTTTACAGTTTACTCTGTTTTGGATTGATTTTACAGTTTACTCTGTTTTTATGCCAAATACCGTTTGTTATTCATAAATTTTCCATTGGGTAGCTGTATAAGTTTTCCATAGGCTTCGATCATCTCCCCAACTAACCCAAAGCCTCCTTTTCTCCCGCTAAGCAAAAGAAAATCAAGGAGGCCTGCAACTTCGTATGCAGTCCGCCACTGAAAATCAGTCTGGAAGCTGGAAAATTCAAAAGGTAAAACACACTAATCTCGTTGATTTTGGTCTCTACTGCACAGTTTGATCTCAAAGATTGATACTTTTATGTGATTTCTTGACTCTTTTTTTCATATGATTTTCATTGTATGTGTGCCAGTGTACGTCTCTTCTTGAAAAATACATGTTGAAAATGGGAGAATTTTGGACATGACACTTTTAGAAGTGAGGTTTTTTAAATGAAGATACTCTTATGATTTGTTTGTAATTTGTTTTGCAAATGGGTAGGAATGTCATTCTAAAAGGATATTGGCAGGAGGGGGTGGAATGTCATTCTAAAATATGTGTAGTTCAATTCTCTCATTTTCTATAGCAGAATTGCAGATTTCTAAATTGGAGAGGAAAAATAAGCACTATAGCAGTTTATGCAGAAGGAGCATGTAAAAGAGAAGCACAGGTAAAGGTTTCTTAGGTCAGTTGGCTGTTTTCTTTTTAGTGTTTTCAACTTGTTCATTTTATTCTGTCTGCAATTTTTTAATATGTGGTTATGCATCAATTTCTCTGCTTCTTGTGTGTCGTACAAAAGTAATTTTGAAATTGGTACAATTCGTTTTTAAACCCTTCAAAAAACAATCCCAATTAATTTAGTCCGATAAACATAAAAAATTATGCTCATTCATAACAATAACAAGTTGGCTAAGGCAAGTTGGAGTCACCATCCCATAGGGAGTTTGTCCATCATCTATTTGTACTTATCAAGGGATAACATGTCATACAATGCATTTTAGGATAGCAGTGAGGAAATAATCCCACGTAGACCAAGCAACTATTGATTGAATGCTTTATATACGTTTTATTTGAGAAATGTTCCAGCATTTTCGAGGTAATTTCAATTCTTGAAGACAAATATTTCAAGATTTCTGGGTTTCTTTTTGCTTCTAATTTGTTAAATTACTAAACTGGAAGTTAATCTTGTTCAATTATTCTTGTAAGAAAGCATATGAGAACGTGGCACACTACATGTTCGATGAAATGCATTTGAGTATTAGTACTGCTCTTTCTGCATACATGCAAAGCTGTGTAAGGGCAAATATTTTGAGTTGGAAAAATTAGAGACGATTGGTGATCTTGGTTTGCCTTGCAATTTGATCAACTTTATGAACCGTTGGAAATTCAATTAAATAAAGAGGTAGAATCATTAAACACCCTAGTTAATGGATTCTTATATCCATTAACCAAAGTCTTTGATTCACGAACATGCGTTGTTACGTAATTATTTAGTTATTTTCGCAACACATCAAAAGTGAGCTTTCTTGAAATTTCACAACACATCAACAGTGAGCTTCCTTGAAATTTCTTTAGACTTAGTCAAATCTCCTTTCACGTGTTTTTGGTAATTAAGTTTTATCTTTTCAGTTTGGAATTGGTCGGATTTAGCTCTTTCTTGGGGGTTCCTCATTATTTCCTGGTTCTCTGGTTTGGTTCTATGTTTATTTATTTATTCATAGGGATGAGCTTGGGCAAATGTTGACCTCAGCAGTGAGGTCGGAGACAATATTGGTGCAAACAATTAAATAGAGGTGCTTTCGTTGTCAATAATCAAATAATCAAATAATTAAGGAAAATCACATTACGTGTATTACACATGAACAATCTCTCTAGCGGCGGTGAAATTGACTTGTTCAATGAGCTATATCTCTATTAGAGAGAATTTAAATGTTTACAAAATGTGGATCGTTTGTTTAGTTTCTTGGTTCGATTGATCATGCAATTTAACAATTAAATATTATTTGATCATCCAAAAAATTAAAAGACATTTCATGGTACTAATCAACATTGAACAGTCTTCCTCCCTACGCGCTTTGACCAAAATGAAAAGATATTCATGCCGTAAAAACACGTAGTACTTCCATCGTGGGGTCATTCGAAAGAAAAGATAGAGAGGATCTTTGAGTGCTCAATGCCATAGGAAAGTAACGAAAAGTTAATGAAAATCACGATGAAAATACTCACACAAAAGTAGAAGTAGACCAAAAGAGAGGTTTGAAAGTATTTTTGCTCATCATCATAATCTGAATCAACAAGCTTATTGTCAGGCTCTTCCACTGCTTCGATAAAAGGGTCACAGATTGATGGCTGGCAGATGCCGCGAGAAAAAATAAATAACAACTCTACTACGGGGCATGTTATCAAACATGCTATTAAACCCAACATTATCTGCAATGCCAACCACCTTACTTTCCACCCCATATTTGCACTCTGTACCTGGCACTCTATAGTAATATTCTAGAGGTTCTCGGTATCCCAATGCTTTAGCAAAGTCATCAAAATCAAATTTTGACGTGTAGTCCCGATTTATATTGTCTACCCAAACCACACTACCACCAGAATATATCTTGTGCCCATAACCTAAGTCTAGTAGTTCACCTCCATGATGTATTTCGACGGTCCATAAGGCTTGGTCTAAACCTTCTGTATATTTTCCAATCAAATGACACAAGTTATTACAAAGAAATAGTCTAAAAAAACTAAATAAAATGATTAAAATGAAATTCAAGTTTTGATATATTTGTATATAGAAATTGGACACCGCAAGTAACTTTCGTGTGTTAAATTGTCAAAAGGGCAAATAGTATATCAGCCTATCTTCTCATGGACCTAGTAAAAAAAAATGCCATCTTTGCTTTTACCCAAACGAAAATAATAAACTATTGCACTTACGATGGCTCTCCAATTTTTCCACACTTGCAGTGTTTGCAATTTCCAAACAAAAACAAAATACTTACATTAATCTACGCCGAGTCTGCTGTCTGCATCACCTCACCCCGAGTCTGCGACTTCGTCTCCCTCTAACGAAATTTCTCACCTCCTTCTCTCTCTCTCTAAAAAATACAGAAAAAAGCTTCTGAATTCAATCCTACGAAACTCAAATAAATTGCAAATCCATGCCTTCATTTTAACCTCTAATAAATTTAACAGAAAGGGAACTCAAATCACAATGAAATTCATGCCTTCAATTTAACCTCATGAAAAAATCATAACAAACCCAGCAAATCTGTAAATTTGACAACCCAAGTTACGAAACTAAACCCTAAGTAATTACAGATCAAAGAAAGGTCAAAGAAAGATGTCATATTTACCATAATTTGGGGCTTCCCCAGAAAATCTGAACTGATTATCCTCCATCCCTCTTTACTTGACGCCGAAATAGATGCCAACCATCAATTTTTTTCTTCAATTCTTCAACAATCCTTGCCAAAATCAAACTTGTTTATCTTTGTCTCCATGAAATCCTCATATCCTACTAACCCTCCCTCCGAATGCCGTTTAATGTGACTTTAGGGAATTAAAAAAAGTTAATTGACGAAAATGCCCCCACAAGTCAAATGTTTTAACAGCAAAATGGATGGACAGTAACGGTATGTGATGGATTCCAACATTTAATAAAGTTCAGGGGGTCAAAATACACAATTAAAAATTCATGTGATATTTGCGCAGTTCATGTGATATTTGCGCACAGGAAGACTGTGTGAAAGTTGTTGAGAAGCCGACCAAGTGTGACAATACGAATCAATTCAACAAAAAAACTCACAAAATAATCAAACTTATATGGCAAAAAAATGACAAAAATAGATTGAAAAAAACCAACGTGAACAGTCAGCATCGACCTACTCTCACTCCTGCTCCTAAGTTGGACCAAAAATAATTATTTTATGGGGCCAACATTACTTTACTCATTCCTTATTTTTCTTCTTTATCTTTTGGGAACGTCAATTATCTAGACAATTTCCGACTACTTGCTTGGTAAGACTCTATCGATTTTTGACTAGTGGGATTGAATTAATTTAAAGCGAACGACTGATGAAATAATGGAAAGAAATTGGTTGAGACTAAGGCATTATTCATTGAATGGTTTATATACGTTTTGTCTGAGAAATGTTCCAACCTTTTCGACGAAATTTCAATTCTTGAAGACAAGTTATTCAAGATTTCTGGGTTTCTTTTTGCTTTTAATTTGTTAAATTACTAAATTGGACGTTAATCTTGTTCAACTGTACTCAGAAGAAAGCATATGACAAAGTGGCACATCACTTGTTCCATAAAATGCGTCTGAGAATTAGTATTGCTCTTTTTGCAAATATACAGAGTTGTGAAGGGCAAATAGGTTGAGTCAAAAAATGTAGAGGTGTCAGTAAGCTAGAACAAATGGTTGGCACATTAAAAGAGGTTTGAGAGGCCCTAGATGGGAGGCCTATAGAAAGGGGTAGAGACCTCCAATATAGGTGTCAGATGAATTAGAGAGAATAGAGTGAATGTATGAACCAGACACTATTTAGCCTTGAAATCAATATTGAGAGCAACACAAGGGACGTAGCTCAGTTTTGAGGCGTGAACCAACTTACATTTTTTAGTCCATTTAATTTCAACCCATGTCATGAGCCCTTCTAAGGTCATTTAATTAAGTTTGTTAACCTTACAATTTTGAGCATTAGCACCTATATCGCTGTGTATTATGCGTTGCTAGTTGATTGTATATCTATCCTACGATCTGATGTATACAAACGCGTGTACCATTCTAGTATATGCTTTCAATTGGCATAGAGAGCAGGTTGCTAGATTAGTGATATCTACAAAGATGCTACAGAATCGTTCGTTCCACCGGCTCTGTGACCCACCCTCCGTTTCTAGATGATACCTAACACTATGGTGCATGGAAAGCCAAAATACAATCGTTTCTTTTGGCTCAAGCCAAAATACAACTGCCATTGAGGAACACAGGAATGTGAACACTTGTAAGCTTACCGAGTTTAATCACAAGTTTATGAAATGACGCTGCCAGAAGCAAATAAAAGCAAAAGTGTAGCTTTTAAGGTTATAAAATCTCAAAGGGAAGTGAACAAAATGGTAAGTTTGATTCAAATTCTAGAAGTTTTTGCCCTACGTGAGTCTTTTAATGATACATCTTCTAAGTTTTGTGCAAGTGGACGAAAAAGTTTAAAGAATCAACCATGCTTTGAGTGGCAAGGATTTGGACACCAATCCTTCGAATGTGCCAATACATTGAGAAAGCAAAGAGGTGGAAAACAAAGGCCATGGCAGCTACATGGAGCGATACCGAAAGTGACTCGTGCTTGGCGATGGTGATTCTTCTCAGAATTCAAGAAACCATCTCCGAATCAATGCTAAAAAATAATATCTATGATTTGAGTAATCATTCTACTGGAAACGGGTAATTAATCAGAGTTAAAAATCAATACCTACTTTGTACACTTAATACATGCTACAAATACAATGCGGTTTAATAGGAACATAAATGTTCAAACTTGCAGCTGCATATATGCTTGATGCAGCATTGGGGACGACGTGAAAGCTGGTGTTTCAAATGTTAAATCTGGTGTTTATGGCCCACTTGCATCTCTTACTCTGCACTCACTTGAAGCTCAACCGTCTTCTTCATTCCCTCACCATTCTTCCACGTCCCAACACGAGCACTGAAATGCTTCCACGTCCCAACATAAGCATTGAGTTGCGGCAAAGAAGAATCGGTCAATGGGTGGTGAAACTGACCTGGCTAGTACGTAAGCTTCATTCCAAAAGGCTGCAAGCTGCAATGCAGAGAAGAGAAGTAGACAGAGTAAAGAAATACCATAAGGCATAGATGCACCAACAATCACAGTAGGACTCAACGTTAGCTTGTAGAAGAGCATACAAAATACAGACTGGATCTCTAGAACTGCTTGAAAAGCGTTGTTGGAAGAATAGTCACTTCCCGTCACATCCACTAACCACGAGTGAGAAAATGTCCCAAAACAAACCTAAATTGTGTTTAGCACGAGGCATATGCTTTTCTATTTTGGCATTGCGTGTTTGAATTCATACTTGAACAGACAATTTCTCATAGGATATACTATATACTGCTTCAACTCTGGTTTTTGTGCTATGTTCTGGAGTAGTAACAAATTGGACAACTAAAGCCTCAGCTCTCATGGCAAGTTGCATTAAGGCATGTGCAGAAAATTCAGAAACTATACGAAAAGAAAGGGTAACTAAAAAAGAACATGTGGTCCTGGAGTCAGAGAACAAACTTCTTTTGGAAAATTAAAACATACAGTTTTTGATTTATTCGACTTCTTTCGGCTTGCACAAGATCGGCGGTAAGAAATAATCAGTATCCATTAACACTTTGTCTAAAGTGGCTAGACATGCAAGCTTATTTTTTTCTTTGAATGAAAAAAACATAAATAGAAGCATTCATGAGGTCATGGTTTTATTACGAGCTAAATTGTATTCTTAGCGCAGTTTTAGACAGTTTGTTGTTATGACCCTCACCAATTGGCCTGCTGACTGTATCAAATGGAATATGCAATATGTGGACTTGATTGAACCTATAACAGAAAACATTTAAGCACAAAAAGATACTTACCAAATTCTAACATCTGCTGCTGAAGTTTCATTCTGAAAATGATCAAGCCAAAGTTAACCCGGTATGATAAATTTCTTCTCATCATGCATAGAAACAGATATTCACTTTTTGTTGCATCTTAGCCTCGCCATTAAGAATCTACTTTCAGTTTGAGTTCAAAATTATCAGTATGCACAATAAAAAAAAGATTCACAAACACAACATTGTTACAGAATATCCTGCATTTATGTAAAGAACCAAGACAGCTTCCATGGGGGTCTTCAGATATCATGATCGGCACTACTCAAGCACTTACTTTATCTCTGAATCTACTTTATTTGTTCATAGCAAATAAGTTTTGCTTCAATTTGTCTGATGCTGAAACTATCACAATATATTTTGCTTCCCAATCTTACATCCAAACATATACATCATTGCACTTTTTGTTAACACCATCGCCATGCTATACTTTTACAATTATATATGAAATCCTAAAAGGTGAACATCTCATGTACGCAAGGCCATTCGAGAAAAACTAAGTCCAATGAGTGTGTGTTACAGTATAACGATATTACAGCATAACGATATTACAACATTTTTTGCAAACTAAAACTGAACAAAATGTTACAAGAGACTTATCCTCCTCGTACCTAATAGAAGAACAAAAACAGAAGAGTGGTGCTATTTACACACTACGACTTTGCATCTCTTTTGGTTGAATCTCTGGCATAGATGAGAGAAACACATTATTTAATGTATTTAGATTTCAATGTGGGATCTAAGAAAAAAAAAGAGTACTCATTGATTGTATTTAGACAAACATGTCTTATTCAAGTGCATATAATATAATATATATATATATATATATATATATATGTATATATATAGCTCATGGTATCGACCAAGATGGCAAAACACAAGAGGCATAGAGAACTTAAGGAAAGAAAAGCAGAAGAGAAAGAAAGAGATCAATTGAACAAGTAGTGATTGAGTTAATTTCTTTAACATCAATAATCTTACATAAGTAGTTCTTCTTGCAGGAAACACTTTAAATGCTTTTTGAACTCAAAATATTTTACCTAAAAATGTTTTCAGTCGTTTAAAAGCACTTGGGCAAGAAAACTCTTTAGTGTACTACCAAATTTGCCCTCAAATATTATCCTAATTTTGATTTCGCCTTCTTATACATGTGGTGGTCATTAATCTGACTCGTTAGAGGTGGTGTCTTGCCTCAATGGCCAGATTGATGATTGCAGCTGGGAGGCATTCCCCATCCTATCTCGCATCCATGTGTTGAGGAATTCCTTCCATGCTTGTGACTGGTCTTAGGTCCCAAGATCAGCAAACTGTGCGGCGGACTATGTGGTGTCTCATTCTAGCGCGGAGGTGTGCGATTCCGTTTGGGTCGAAAGACCCCCATCTTCGCTTGTGGGCATTCTCAACAATGACGGCCTTTCCTGCCCGCCGAACTAGTCTTTTGATGTTGAGAGATTGGGCTGACTTCAAGGTCTTGTGTGTCTGTTTGTACCCCCGGTCTCTCTCCTAGTTGGTTGATCTGTTCGTTTACCCTTGTTGGCTTTTGCTGGTTAATATTTTGATCAGTTTCTATAAAAAATTAAAAAAAAATTAAAAAAAAAAATGAATAAGAGTAGGATGGGGAACGGCATTGTGCAATTTTGCCTCAATTTCACCTTATTTACGAGTTTGCCACCGGGCTGATTTCTGCCCAAATTTCACATCATTTACAAGATTGCCAATGGGTTTAAGAACGGGTCTGCAGTCTTTGGGCTGGATCTGGGCTTTGACTCGGGGAGAGAGAGGGAAGGGCGACAGAAGGGTTGAGAGGGGGAGGTTCGCCGGGATTTCGGGGAGAGGATTTTCAGGAGGGACGTGCGGGTGGGTGTCCTGTGGGTGATGCATCGGTCAGAGAGT